AAAAAAAAAAAAAAAGCAGGACAAAAGAAGTATGAAGTTTGTAACCAGCTAGCTCAGGGAAGGAAAAGAAACATTTGTGGTTTTTTTAAAAAAAGTGTGAATGGTTAACTTCTTTATAAAGCATAAACAACGCATTATAATTATCAGGACCTCCCTTTGGGTGCCTGAAAGAATATTTAATGATTGTTTCATTTTAATGTTATTCACAGCATGTCCTTTGCTCAAACTGGAACATTAATGTCAGCTAATTATCAATTTGGATAAAAAACAAAAGCATCTACCACATTCAAAACACTCATACACAGGGTAGTGAATATGGGGAGTAGGACAATGAGAAATGGACATCAGTGAAGAGATGAGTTCATAAACTCAGCTCTGTGGTCACTATGCTAGCCCCTGCAACTGAAGTGCTTGATTATGCTGTGATGAACAAAGTTGACTGAGTTGCTGGAGACTAGGATGGAATATGCACAGTTACTTACCTTACCACTGGTAAGTCTATTCATTACCAACCAATAAACCAAAACCAAACTCACTGCCATCGAGTCAGATCCAACTCATAGCAATCTCTCCTTGGGTTTCCAAGGTGATATCACTATGGAAGTAGATTGCTCAACCTTCCTTCTGAGGAGTGGCTGGTGGGTTTGAACTGCCAGCCTTCTGGTTAGCAGTCAAATGCCTTAGGCACTACACCACCAGAACTCCCTACCAACCAACAGGGTGGAAAAATAAAAGTATCTGAAATAAGACTGGGAACAGTCACCAACTCACAATGGGTTCAACTGGGTCTGCTTTCTAAGCTATATCAGATGGGTTGGTGATAGCTCAGTCATTAAGCATAACATAAGACACATGACTCTCCTCTACCCCTAGACATTGAAAGAAATTGTTTGATTGATATACGGGTGGATAGAGGGCTGCACAGGCTGAACGATCAGCTATGTCTGTGCAGCGGGGAGTGTGCTCATGACCATGTATAGGGCTGGCAGACAATGTAGTGTATTTGTATGTTGTATGAGAATTTCCAGGTCTATAGTAGAGCTGACAAAGGACATGGTTGCAGTCACTTCTTGGCCACAGCCAGCTACCCAGAGGGAGAGAGAGTTGGACCTGTGGGCTCAGGACCATGGTGGCAGGGGACATCAAGCTCAATTGGCGTAACATACTACATAAAAATATTGTTCCACTTCCTACTTTGGCGAATAGCAGCTAGGATCTTAAAAGCTTGCAAGTGGCCATCTAGATGCAACGATGGGTCTCTCCTTGTCCAGAGCAAAGAAGAATTAAGAAAATGAAAGATGCATGGAAATAATTAGTCCAAGGGACTGGTACACCATGTATTCCTCAGCCTATATGACTATGAGACCAGAAGAACTAGATGGCGCCCAGCTACCATGGTCAACCACTCGGAGGGGGATCTATGTAGGAGATCCTGGATAGAGTGAGAGGACAATGTGGAACAAAACTCAAAATCATAAAAAATAACGGACCAGGTTTGTTGGTCTGATAGAGCCTGGTAGAACCCCTAAGATTATGGTCCCTAGCTGCCCTTCAGGTCTGGAATTGAACCCACTCCTATGGCTTCCAGACAAACAAAAGGCAGGCATATGAGCTGAACATTTATACTAGGTAGATACACTCCTTGGATAAATCAATCATGGGAGAATAGAAGGGCAGCGTATGCACTGGGAGACAGCTTTAGGGGGCAGGAGTGCATGGAGGGAAGGACACAGGAAAGGGGTGGCTATGGGGAGGAAGCGGGAGGGGAGCTGTTACACTGTGGGAGACTACAGTCAATGTCATGAGACAAAGTGTATGTGAACTGCTGTGTGGAAGATGAATTTGCTCTGTAAATTTTCAACCAAATCACAATAAAATTTAAAAAAAAAGAAGGAAAGAAAGAAACTGTTTGGCCTTTGTATTGTTCACTAATGAATCTGAACCCTGCTATGATGAATTTCAAGCACAGCTGTAATCACTATTCTAGTAGTATACGGGGAACTAGCAGTTCTCCATACTAGTAACAACCAGACTGCCAATGTATTTATAGATATGGGTAGAGTCTGTTGTGTAAGCTTCACTGTTTTTATACTTTATATAGCCTGAGGCAAAGAAGCCTACCAGTGACTGTCAGATGGGTGAGCCATCAGGAGAACAAGGAAAGAGAAAATGGAGAGTTCACTGTACTTCTTCAGAC